CTTCTGAAATATTTTTTTTCAATTACGTATTAAATCGGTAAATGGACCATATAGTGACACTTTAAAGTATAATATTCTCACCTCAAATGATCTTAAAACATACTTTTTTTAGAAACGGACTATGTCTCTGAGCTGGCCTGGTGTTGCCTTGGGGTCCCCTCCAGAGCAGCTGGAGGTGGGTGTGGGCATCTCTGCTTAGACTGCTGCCTCCGTGACCCGGCCGCAGATAAATCGGAGAAAAATGTAATGAAAAAAATGACAATGTTGATGTTGAAAGGATAGCTTAAGTGCAGCCTTTAATGCAGCCCCTTTGAAAAACAAAAAATGTTAAAAATAGAAAGCTTGCTCCTTGGTTTAATGCAGAGCTGCGCACTTTGAAGCAAAATGCTAGGAAACTGGAGAGAAAATATCGCTCCACAGGCCTATGGGAATCCTACCTAGTCTGGAAAAATAGTTTACTGCTGTATAAGAGGACCCTTTGTAAAGCAAGAGCAGCTTATTTCTCCTCATTAATAGAGGAGAATAAGAATAATCTTAGATTTCTTTTTAACACAGTTACCAAACTCACCCAGAGCCATAGCTCTGTTGAACCGTCCATTCCACCTGCTCTTAGAAGGAATGATTTTATGGGATTCTTTATAAATAAGATTGATCTTATTAAAAATAAGATCAGTAGCACTCCTCTATCTATGATTGGTTTGTCTCTGGAGGGGGGGGGGGGGGCAGCATCTGAGGTAGTCATGGAATCTAAACCAGGTTTAGACTGCTTTGATCCAGTTGAACTTTCAGAGTTAGCAAAACTATTGTCTTCATCTAAGCCTTCAACTTGGATGTTAGATCCAGTTCCAACCAGGTTATTTAAGGAGGTATTCCCTTTGATCTCCTCCTGCATTTTAGATGTGATTAATCTATCTCTGTTACAGGGATATGTACCTAAAGCTGTTTGACTCTTAACTTTCTCCTTCTGAATGCAGACAAAACAGAAGTTATAGTCTTTGGACCAGAGTCTCTGAAAAATAAACTGATTAGCCAGTCACTTCATTTGGATGGGATTAAACTGATTTCAGATAATAAAGTAAAAAATCTTGGTGTTGTTTTTGATCAGGACCTGTCATTTAAATCCCAGATCAAAGAGGTTTCTAGAATTTCCTTCTTTCATCTGAGGAATATTGCAAAAATGAGAAATCTCCTGTCCAGGGGTGATGCTGAGAAACTAGTCCATGCATTTGTTACTTCAAGGCTGGAAAGAGGAAAAAGGGAAATGGCGCCAAACAGTGGTGAATATTGAAAGTTCAGTTTAATATAACCCAGTCAGTGAATAGTTCCGTCTGAAATGAATGAAAATAGTTGTTTTAATGGTTATAGAGTCAGATATGTGGCGGTAATGTTTGATTTATCTAAAGGTTTTTATCTGTTACTGTTTAAATGGGTTTGGCTGTAATTTAAGGACAGATTCTAATATCTCTGCAGGGTGGGGGGAGGGACTATAAATCTGAAAGGAATTTTATTTTTGAGTTGCTATTTTATACACTTTTCTTACCTAAGCATTTTTTGTTGTAGAATATAAGAGAATTTGCAGGTATATATATATTTTTATAAATACATTATTTAGATTTACTTCCATCTTTCTACTCCTTTTATATCATTACATTTGCTTTTAGTTGTTCCTGCTCCCGGTGGTTGGCACCTTTAGTCCACAATAGTCTTTAGTCGTTTCTCAACATGCGTTCTTGAGCGTTCTCATGACACGTCATCAGCCTCAGCCAGAGCACTGTTCCAATTGCTGAGAACGCCAGTCTGGTATTCATTTTTTCATGCTTTGAGTGTAAACATTCACGGTTGCTAAGCGACAGAGCGTAGAAAGCAGCGGAGGCTGGACCTGTTTGAATCCACAGCTAACACTCTTCCTTATTTTCATGGAGTTTGAAGGATCCAGTCCAGGAAGACCGGGTCCTTGGAGGATCCAGTCCAGGTAGACCGGGTCCTTGGAGGATCCAGTCCAGGTAAACTGTCTCCTTTGAGGATCCAGTCCAGGTAGACCTGGTCCTTGGAGGATCCAGTCCAGGTAGACCTGGTCCTTGGAGGATCCAGTCCAGGTAGACCGGGTCATTGGAGGATCCAGTCCAATAGACCGGGTCCCTGGAGGATCCAGTCCAGGAAGACCGGGTCCTTGGAGGATCCAGTCCAGGTAGACTGGGTCATTGGAGGATCCAGTCCAGGTAGACTGGGTCATTGGAGGATCCAGTCCTGGTAGACTGGGTCATTGGAGGATCCAGTCCTGGTAGACCAGGTCCTTGGAAGACGCATACAAATTCAATATCAGACTGTTTATTTCAGACAGACAGAGCCACATGAGGAGCTAGTTTACTGTTAGTTTCTCTAACACAGAAGACAGCCAGCCTGGTTCTGTTGCAGCTTTCTTGCTGTTCAAACGGAATTTTCCTTGCCACTGTCGCTACAAGCATGCTTGGTGTGCAGGACTGCTAAAGAGGCCAAATCTACCATCTAGCTGGTTTTCTTCAGATGGAAAACTTTGAACCTTTAATCTGACTGATCTGATTGATCTGGATCTATAAAGTGACCTAAGCTGACATGATGTGACTTGGAAATAAACTGAACTGAGTGATGATTTGAAGATGTAGTGCAGTTTTTCTCAGGTTGATTTAAGCCAATGTCTCAGGTCTTTTCAGAGTAATGGTCCCACAGGATGGATTCATATCATCCAAGTCAAACCTGGGTGGTAAAATTCCCTATAATGTCAATTAGGATTTATTGGAGTCAAACCTTTATTATTTGTGTGATTGCAGCCTTATAGCAGGCTGACAGCAGCTGGGAAGTTTTTTTTGTTATGTAGTGAATTAGAGCTTTGTCAGTTTAACTGGAACAGAAAGTTATCTTATACCCTCCAACATCCAGTGTGTGCTGTGTTCATTTGTTATTTTCAGTTTGGATCTTCTATAGAAAAGGACTTTCTATAGAAAATGTCTACTGAGTTGGTCATTGGGGCGGACCCTCCCATGTTCTGTACAGTTCTCGGGTCATAGGTCAACTAGCACCTCTTCAGGCTCCACAATCCTGGACAGAATCCTTGAAGGAGGCTCTTTAGACTCTAACCTCAAGGACGGTGCTGCAGAACACAGATGGCTCAACTGATCCAACATAGACACAATCAAACACTGTGTCCTGCCTGGACGGTCAGACCGCCTTCCTCCGTTTCTTAACCTAAATTCATTTTAAAAATGCGCTCCACAACCTTCTGCTGATGTCCTGTGTTTGTTTGAGCGTTCTCTCTGCATCCTGCTGCTGTTTGGACCATTGATGCCATGTGGGTGCTTGTTTACTCAGGGTTCATCATGAAAGGGGGGAGTGGTGGCCTGGTGGTTAGGGTATAGAGCTTGGAATCCACAGGTTTTGAGGTCAAGTCCCACTCCCACAGACTGCCACTCTGGGTGCCTGAGCAAAACCCTTAACCCCACACTGCTCCCCAGGAGCCACACAATGGCAGCCCACTGCTCCCCAATGGGATGGGTTAAATGCAGAGGGAATTTCTTTGCTCTGTACTGTAATGCCAGAGAAAAAGAAACAATTGGCAGTTTTTTCCTACACTTTAATGCTGCTGGAGCCTCTGGTCGGTTCTTGTGGAACAACCAAAGATATCTTCAGTATCCTTAGTTCCAGCGTTGGAAAGGTGTCAAAGATGTCTGGATTCCAGATGGTACCACAGAGAGATGATCAGACCCTCTACAGGGTGAGGAGAACCAGGTTCACATCAGCCATCGGACCTTCAAGGAAATCATTTTCTTTCCCAGTTTAACCAGTATCCTGGCTCTGACATCAACAGCTTGATTCTTTAATGATTCAATGTCTCCTCTCTCTACAACCCGACGCATTCATCTGCTCAGGTTCGCTCATTTCTAGGCTGCTTCTTCTGTATGATTGGATCATCTATCCAGTTGATCTAATGTACCCTGATGTGATGATTAAGGAAACCTGACACCGACTGTCTTCCTCCCAGCGTTTTATTGGAAGGAGTTCTGAGTGAAGACTGCCAGCTGCTCTGGAAGCTTCTGGGTTATTGAGGTCAGGAGGAGGAGACGTGAAGTGGCCAAACAGAGAGCGACCGGCTCAGTGTCATGCAGCTGCTTCATCATAGCAGAGAGCTTTTCAACACCTTCTATTGGTCTGATTCCCCTCCAGAGACCATAGAGGCCGATTCTGATTCAGTCTTTTAAAGCTGGAGCAGAACCAACCAAAGAACCAGAAGGCCCAGCAGGACAGACAGGAATTAAGGGTCCAATCCAGGTTCTGATAAAAGCTTTGCACTAAAGGAAGAATAAGAACTGACTGAAGTCACGTCTGTATCTTAGAGGGACTTGGAATAAGATAACCTGCTCTCTGGAGTAGGTCCAGGTGAAGGTCTGTTTGACCTTCTGGAGGCAGAACTGGATTCCTGTGGCGCGGTTCGTCCTCCTCCTCCTCAATAAGCTCAAATCCAGTTCTATTGAAAAGCTAGCCATAAACTTTCCCGCCACATTTATTAAGTGCTTTTTTTCCTGAGATTTGGAGGCAAAGACTTTGTGCTAGGGTACAGAGTTAGCTAACCATATCCAACTGTGCTAAGTTACAGAGTTAGCTAACCATTCCCAAGAATGCTGAGGTTTGGGTTAACTCACCCTAACTCTAGGTTCAGGATTAGCTAAACCATAACCTAAAGTTAGGGTAAATAACTCTGACCCCCTCAGGCTTCAATTAACTAACTAGTCACTCTGTCCTACTGGTTCACCATCGCCTATGAAGATGAACTTTATCTCCATACATATAATTATGTGATTGCTACCCCAAATAGATCAGCCAATCAGCTGTCTCAATTTCTCCCATCTTATGACCTTGCTGTCCCTATGTACGACCTCACTAGGATCCACTGTGTTTTTGGTAAAATGGACCCAGCTGCAGTCATAAATGTCTGATCTCTGAGGAGAGAAACCAGTCGGACCACACAGTGGAGACAATATTCAGCTTTTATTGTTGGGTTATTAGCAGAACTATGTGTCGTCTACAACAGGCATCAACTGCAGAACCAGACTGTGAGTTAGTCTATCAGTTTTTTGGTCCAGTCTGGTTTCTGTGGAACAGCGAGACACAAACACACCTGAAAACAGACAACAGTGAGAAGCGACGGCATGAAGAGCACATGAAATTCATCCAGAGGACTACAGTCAGTATCAGGCTGAATGTACTAAGAACCAGAACCTTCTATATGAGGACAACCAACATATTTACATCTATGTACATTTGGTTCAGGAAGTCTGCAAATGAACTAACAGGGGTCCAGTGGGTCGCTGCAGAAGTAAAAAACAAAACAAAGGTCAGAAACAGGTTCTGAACCACTTCTGTACACATAGCTGCAACATGCTGTAGCTTATTACCAATGCCCTAAAACACTGCCAGCCTCCCAGTCAGAAGATGGAACCAGCAGCTGCTCTGGAGCAGAATTCCAGCCAGCTACATTTGGGTCCTGAACATATTCTAGGTCCAGAAAGGACGGGTTCTATGCAATCCGTTTAAAAACAACTGGGCCCAACTGATCCACACTCTGGCCCACCGGTTCCGCCTCACTGGTCCAAACTGCCATTGGGTGCTGGAGCTCCAGGTTTTACCGGCGAAGGATGGCGCTCAGGGTCCAAACCTGAACCTGCAGCTGTAGAATGATCCCTCCCTGGGAAATGAACCGGTCCTGTTCTGAAAACATAAGTTAAAAGGCAACAGAACCGGGTCACAGGTGTGTTGATGATGAAGGTCCTGAAGCTCAGCCAGGACTCAGTCTGGACCTGGTCCCTCCTATTTGACATATCAGGACAGGAACCACAGCGGTAGTAACACCGGAGGATCCCTGGTTCTGTCCTGGGTCAGAGGAACCGGGCTGAAACCCCATTAAATGTGTCCAGAACCTCTATGTTCCTGAATTCTACTTCATTAGAATGTAGAACCAGAACCATTGTGGACAGTTCTCCAACAGCATCTCACCATCTGTCACTGAACCACCCAACTCTGCACTCAGAACACCTCCAGAACCCCAATCCACCTGAAGAACTGGTCCGATGAAACCCAGCGCTGCTTGGGGGACCAACAAACCCCCACTACTGAAGGTGTTTGGACCTGGAGGACAAAGACAGATGCTGAGCCTGCTGCCCCCAGCAGCAGACCTGGACCCAGGAAGACCTGCAGTCCAAAGTTGTCTGGCCTCTGAGGTTCTTCAGAGAGCAACCAGCACCATGAGGAGCAGGGAACCCAGCAGACGGGTCGGGAGGAGATCTGGCTGTTAAAAGGTTGTGGTTCTGTCAGTATGGAGCCTCCTACTCTGCTCCACATCCACAGAACAAAGGTTAAAGTGCAGTCGGGCTAAACTCGGAGGAATAGGAGGATAAAGATGAGCTCAGATGACCTGGCAGCAGTTGGCCTGCGCTGAGGAACACAGCAGACTGTCTCTGGAGCGGATCTTCACAGAGATGGTCTTCTCACACAGAGGTAGTTGCAGAACACCGTTTTTCAGGGCCTCCATGTCTCTGGGAGTGTCCCTGGGGCCGGTCCGTGGACCTCGCACCTCCTTCTGGTGGAGGAGCAGTGCACCGTGAGATCTAGGGAGGGCGATGGAGCCCAGGCTGTGGGTGGGACCGATGCAGATCCTCCATGGTGTCTTGTCTTGGACCTTCACCCCCCGACCCTGTGTGGCCCGCGCCCCCCTGCCCCCCCGGTGCTGCTGGAGCTGGGAGCTGAGACACAGGCTCATCAGCTTCAGACTCTCCACCAGCTCGGCACCGCGGCCCGCCATGCCAAGGGAAGGCCTGTTGGAGCCGCCGTGGCTGCAGCAGCTGGGGGGGCGGTCCTGTTGGCCCTCGCCGCCCTCTGTTCTCCCGCCTCCCCCTCCACCACCACTGCCTTCTGGCTCCCCAGTGCCGTCAGCCCCAGGAGGATTTCCTCTGTCGGGACCAGAGGAACCACCCCCGTCAGAGGGGGGCTTCCCCTGGCCTGAGCTGCTGCCCCCCCCCTCGCTGCCAGGGGGCCCCTCGCTGCTGTCTCTGCGGTTCCAGCTGTAGGTGAATCCTGAGTCCTTATCCAGACGCCTCCTGTGGCTCTCTGAGTCGTCGTCGCTGGTCTCTGAGCTGGAACAAGACGAGCCCCGTCCCTGGCTCTTCCGCCTGTGGTACCTCTTCGGTGTGGGCCCCGGAGACGTAGATAATGCCACTCCGGGGCCCAGGCCGCTGGCGGTCCCGGCCATGTTCATCTTGAGGCGGCTAAGTTTGGGCGGCAGGCCTTCGTCCATCTCAAAGTCGTCGTCCGACTCGCCCTCCTCTTCAAAGATCTGGTTGAGCACCGGGGCGCTCTTCCTGGAGGTGAGGCGGTTGGTGATGGAGGGGGGCTTACGCCGCAGGATCACCTGGGACGGAAGGGGGGAGGGGTCCTGCTCCTCCTCCTCCTCTTCATCTTCCTCCACCCTAATAACAACAGGGATGACATTGAATGATTCCATCAAGTAGAGCCTGAGGACAGCTGAAGACAGCAAAACATTCAGACCTGAACAGACAGACTCTCTGCTTGGCTGCTGCTGGGGAAGAACCTCTGAAGGTCCCAGAAGATGCAGCAGGACCAGAAGCTCCGGCACAGACGCCCTGTGGGGAACAGAGAGAAGGTTGATTCATGTGAACCCCATCAGTATCAACAGCTGGACGGTAATAAAGGATCACTGTGCGCAGAAGAGAATGAATGAAACAAAAAAGGCTCGGGGCGCTAGGGTTCGGGGCGCTAGGGTTCGGGCTGCTAGGGTTCGGGGCGCTAGGGTTCGGGGCGCTAGGGTTCGGGGCGCTAGGGTTCGGGCTGCTAGGGTTCGGGGCGCTAGGGTTCGGGGCGCTAGGGTTCGGGCTGCTAGGGTTCGGGCTGCTAGGGTTCGGGCGCAAGGGTTCGGGAGCTAGGGTTAGGGCGCAAGGGTTCGGGAGCTAGGATTCGGGCGCTAGGGTCAGGGAGCTAGGAGTGATGTAATGCCATCTTCTAAGTGTTTGTTAGGAACCCCAGCTCTGAACCTGAGTGGTGTTTCATTATTGGGGTTCAGTGCAGGTCAGAGCCTGTATAATAAGGAAAACCAGGTTCAGGCATCAGGATGTCCATCGGTGCACTGGGCACCAGGACACCCTGAACCGGAGGTTGATATTGACTTTGTAGTAGAATCTTCAGACCTTGGGCCGCATGTCTTGAAAACTCAGGTGAAGAGAGGTGGAGCTGTCCATCAATCACCAGCTGGTGGCGAGTTAGATACGCTGGAAGAGGAGGGAGCTGGACGGACCTGGAAGGCCCAAACAAGCAGGATGGGGGCTGCTGGAAATGTCTGGTGGAGACCTCAGGCTGGCGTTCAACTCCCACCTCTAGGAGGGATTCTCCCAGACTGTGGGGGAGGCAGAGGAAGTGGAGCCTGTAGGTCTGTGGTGCCTGTCAGGCTCCAGGAGGAGTCCTATTGCACATGGCAGGTTTGTGGGACTCCTGAGGCAGCAAGCAGCATGTGAGTAGGACTAATAACGATCCCCCTACATTATGACTGAGTCTTCCATCAGTTTTCAGCTTGGTACTCAGTATCTAGGAGGAAAGTATCAGCTCTCATAGTTGAGGGCACAAAGGTCAAGAGAGACTGGTATTAGTCTCTCTTGACCTTTTATGGGGGCTGAAATGTTTGTGGCCAACATGTGAAGCTGAAGGAGGACCCTGCTCTGTTGAAGTAAAACTGTGTGAAGAGACGTGTGCGAGAACCTGAGATGAGTCAGTGACTGAAGCGTCCTCCCGTCGGCCCAGGTCCATCACGCCTTTGGGGCGGTGCCCGTTGAGCAGGTTCTCTGCACTGCGCGCTGGGGACTGGGGGCCTCCAGCGTGTGACATGGATGAAGAGGCCAACGTGTCCTCTATGTCCTGATGCATGTCCACTCTGGTCGGCCAGGACTGCCTATGGAGAAGAGACAAACACGCCCCCCCCCGTTGAACATGAAGGATGTCAGCTATATGGATGACAGCTGGAAGAGTAGCTGAGAGGGTTAAAACATGTGGAGAAGCAGAGATGTCCTCATTAGAGGACATCCCTCCACCCGCTCAGAGCTGGGTCGGGTCAGATGATGTAGCAAACGCCGTTTTAGGAGCTCTGCGCCACTTGGTGCAAATCTCCCTATATATTATAGCAGGCATTCATGGCTTTGGTTTGGCAGAGGATACGGACGCTGGGCAGCCGGTGGAGATCGTCCAATCATGGCTACCCCGGTCCTAAAGATGGAAAGAGCCCACCGAACCAGAACCAGACCCAACAGGATCAGGCTGGGAGGCCATTAGGATGGATAGACCCTTTGCTGCTCTATCATTCTTCTGAAAATGGGATTCCACCTCAATCCCTTCAGGAGACCAACTTTAGAAAATGTAAATGCCCTGATGGCTGGGCTTCATACAGGCCGACAGGCCGTCTGAACTGGTGCCTAGAGAAGGTTCTGTCCCTTCTGGTTAAGCAGGACCAATCAAGATTCCTCCAACTGTATAATATCCACATCTAATTCTGTCCCTTCATCAAGGACCCGGCCCTAATGCCGCCCCCTTGTCAAGCACCCTGCCCTAATGCCGTCCCTTAAAGTACCCTGCCCTAATGCCGTCCCTTTGTCAAGGACCCTGCCCTAATGCCGTCCCTTTGTCAAGGACCCTGCCCTAATGCCGTCCCTTTGTCAAGGACCCGACCCTAATGCCGTCCCTTTGTCAAGGACCCGACCCTAATGCCGTCCCTTTCTCAAGGACCCAACCCTAATGCTCTCCCTTTGTCAAGGACCTGGCCCTAATGCTGTCCCTTAAAGGACCCTGCCCTAATGCTGTCCCTTAAAGGACCCGGCCCTAATGCTGTCCCTTTGTCAAGGACCCTGCCCTAATGCCGTACCTTTGACAAGGACCCCGCCCTAATGTCGTCCCTTTGTCAAGGACCCTGCCCTAATACTGTCCCTCAAAGGACCCAGCCCTAATGCCGTCCCTTTGTCAAGGACCCCGCCCTAATGTCGTCATTTTGTAAAGGACCCACCCTAATGTCGTCCCTTTGTCAAGGACCCCGCCCCTAGTGCTGTCCCTTTGGAAACGACCTTCGTCCCTTCGTCAACCAATCCCAACAGCTAATCCAGGAGTTTTCTGGTAAACAGACACTAAAGCTCTGATATCTGTCTGCCTATTAGAAATAAATAAATATTAAGGGCTTTTCAAAATCCAGCACTAAGAGAACGAGCGCTTATCCTTATTACTCATTTTCTCACTGAGCAGTGGTGAAAAATGTATTAATACCCAAATTAACTAGAAATGTTAAAACCTGCTGATCAAAAATATTGGATTATATATTCTGGTTCTAGCGGTTTTTAACCACGAACCTTAAACTCTTTCTATTCACTTCCAGCCACTACAAATGGCAGCCGGAAATCCCCCACAAGCTGGCTGGCAGCAGCAGAGACCTTTGAGCGGGGATTTCCAGCACTGCCTCCCGGCGGTATGCTGAAGGTCTGGAGTTCCCAACAAGAACTGCAGATTTTAGTGGAATTATAATCCTGATGAACTGATGAACTCATAAAGTGAATAAAGCCAAGCTGCTCTCTAGCTTGAAGCTACAGATCAGCGTCTGAATGTCGGCGTTTACACATTTCCGACCTCCAGAACGTGATGAATTAGAACTAGAACGCACCTCAGAGTAACTGGCAGCGAGGACGGCTCAGACATGAAGGGCCTTATATATCAGAGCATCTGTTCTCCACAGAGCCTAGCAGGTGGACACTCTGAGACTGGGACCTGTGGGCCACCGTAGCTCCACTCCACATTTACCCCACAGTTACCTGAAGTGAGCCTTGATGTTGCTGGGGCTGGAGGAGCGCGTCTGGACCTCTTTCTCCTGCTTCTCCCTCAGGATCCGCTCTGCTAACAGGAAGTAGGTAGCTGTGATGTGGTTGTACTTGTTGGTCTCCAGGGCCCTGGAACAATAGACCAATATGAGGAAGGAGTTCATCCATTCTTCCCAGTTTCGCACGGATAGTGAGAGCCCAAACTCTGATGGGAACTAGTGTGGAGAACCACATCATGATGCTGCCACTGCCAACAGCTTACCCCCAAAGTCCACATCCTCCGTCACTGCCCGACTCTGCTCCGCCTCAATAACATACATCGTGAAAAGTATTTACGCAGTCATGTTAATCAATAGGAACTAGGGTTGTCACGATACTAAACTTTTCAACTCGATACCGATACTAAGGCAAATATTCGATACTCGATACCATTTTCGATACCACAAGAATAAAACAAAGACTCCAAAATTCAACAGAAATTTTCATTAATAATAAAAATACAATAAATACAATAAACAATAAGAAGAATATTTTGAGGTTGTATGCTATGCACAATATTAAGCAAGATTGATAAAAAACTTACAAAATTAAAATTAAGTGTTCCTTCCTTGGCTATGCTTTGCACACATAACAATGACACTAGCCAAACCGGTTAAGAAACTAAAATAATTCTCAGCAGCTGCACCTGTTACAGAAAAAAGTCTGAAACTGAAAAGTGCACAAAATTATTCAATCACACAGTGTTCAGAATGTGCATTTTCCTCTATTCTGCACTTTAGATGAATGAATGCTTAGGTGCAACTGGTGGTGGCACTGTATCGATACTTTTAAAAACCAGTATTGTATCCGGATACAACGTTTCAGTATCGATACTTTTTTGAGTATCGATACTTTTGACAACCCTAATAGGAACTGTTCTAAATCCACCCCTACTCCTCCAAATGTGACAGTCTACGTACTTTTTCTCTGGGCGCTCTGGAATGGCGCGGTCTGGAACGGAACAGAGCACTCTGGAACGGAGCAGGGATGCTCTGGAACGGTGTGTGGTGGTCTGGAACGGAGCGGGGGGTCTAGAACGGTGTGGGGCACTCTGAAAAAGAGCGGGGCAGTCTGGAATGGTGCGGGGCAGTCTGTAATGGTGTGTGGTGTTCTGGAATGGAGCGGTCTGAAAGAGATCGGTCTACAACTGAGCAGGGCACACTGGAACAGAGTGGTCTGGGACGTTGCGGGGAGGTGTGTAATCGTGCAGGGAGGTGTGTAATCGTGCGGGACGCTCTGGGACGGAGAGGGGCGGTTCCAGAGGATGTGGGATTTTGGGTTGAATGTTAGCAGGACCTCTGATCAGAGCTGCTTCCACCTGCCTGTGGTGTCTCCTACATGGACCCACGTAGACAGGAATGTTTTCCTTTTAGACTGAATTAAAGGATTCAATCCGTTAATGATGTCATCAGCTAGGAGCAGCTTAAGATGAAGATGCCTCCTGACTTCCTCTGACCATATATGGACTGCAGAATGTGTAATGTGTAGCAGTAATGACACCTACTCCACGATGGCCTCTCTGTCGGCGATGTCTCCTAAAACCATGCGCTGGATGATGCTGTTGTGCTCCTCCTCTGACAGGTTCTTGTGGGAGACAAGGGGGGTGCTGTACTTGGTGGCTGGAGAGGGGTCCACCCCCTGCAGCCAGGTGTGTCCCTCGATCTCCTCCAGGGAGGCTCTGCGTCTGGGGTCCCTCTGCAGCATGCGGTCTATGAGACTGGGAGAGGATGGAGAGACAGAGAGGTGAAGGACCTGCTCCCCTACGTTCCACATCAGGGCGGAGCCTAGAACACACCCACTCTGATGTAGCTCAGAATCCATGGAGATGATCAGACCCCACAGAGATAGTCCTGGAGACTAATTTCACTAATTTGTGACAGGAAGAGTGATGCAGCTACAAAGTAAAACACATCCGCTTGGGGGGAAAATACAAAATAAAACCTGTTAAACTCACAGGGAGGGTTGGAAATTACAGAGGGAAAAAGCAGGCGGAACAGACTGGGCAAAAACCATGAATGAAACATAAAAACCAGAAAACATTAAACATGATAGGAGTTGCTGATGAGGATTCTCAGTCATCCAGGTCATTGTCATTCCGTAAAAGTTTAAAAAACAATCCACTGGACTTGGTTTCCAAGATTTGACCCTTAACGACCAACCCTTAGCAATCTTAGACAGGTTTCAGGTATGACAGGAGACAATCCCCCCTTTAACGACAAACCTCCCCCTTTTAACGACAAACCCCCCATATTGACAATCCCCCCATAACGACAACCCCCCCTTTAAAGACAACCCCCTCCTTTAACGACAATCCCCCCATAACGACAATCCCCCCATAACGACAAACCTCCCCCTTTTAACGACAAACCCCCCATATTGACAATCCCCCCATAACGACAACCCTCCCTTTAAAGACAACCCCCTCCTTTAACGACAATCCCCCCATAACGACAACCCCCCCATAACGACAACCCCCCATAACGACAATCCCCCCATAACGACAACCCCCCCATAACGACAATCCCCCCATAACGACAATCCCCCCTTTAACGACAATCCCCCCCATAACGAAAATCCCTCCCATAACGACAATCCCCCCATTAACGACAATCCCCCCTTTAAAGACAATCCCCGCTTTAACGTCAATCCCCCCCATTAACCACAATCCCCCCTTTAACGACAATCCCCCCATTAACGACAATCCCCCCTTTAAAGACAATCCCCGCTTTAACGTCAATCCCCCCCATTAACCACAATCCCCCCATTAACGACAATCCCCCCTTTAAAGACAATCCCCGCTTTAACGTCAATCCCCCCCATTAACGACAATCCCCCCATTAACGACAATCCCCCCTTTAACGACAATCCCCCCTTTAACGACAATCCCTCCCATTAACGACAATCCCCCCATTAACGACAATCCCCCCTTTAACGACAATCCCCCCTTTAACGTCAATCCCCCCCATTAACCACAATCCCCCCTTTAACGACAATCCCCCCATTAACGACAATCCCCCCTTTAAAGACAATCCCCGCTTTAACGTCAATCCCCCCCATTAACCACAATCCCCCCATTAACGACAATCCCCCCTTTAAAGACAATCCCCGCTTTAACGTCAATCCCCCCCATTAACGACAATCCCCCCTATAACGACAATCCCTCCCATAACGACAATCCCTCCCATAACGACAATCCCTCCCATTAACGACAATCCCCCCTTTAGCGACCAACCCTTAACAATCAGACAGGTTTCAGATATTACAGGCTAACAATGGAACCAAACGACCCGCTCATTGGTTTCTAATTGCATGTTTCCAAGCGATACAAGACCTTGTCTATATAAGACTCAAACTCACTGCGGATCCAGACATTTGAAAGCTTCCTATAGAGGTAGAGGAACGTCTTCAAATCTTGGAAACCAAGTCCAGTGGATTGTTTTTAAACTTTTACGGAATGATAGGAGTTCAGGAGGAGGGAAAACAGTTAAGTAGTGATCTTCTTTAAACCTCACAGAACAAGGAGCAGATAGAGCAGGTAGGAGAAGCTAACCTCTTTATGAAGAAAAAACAAAAAACTGACAGACTTCCCAGATCTCTCTCTGGTTGGGTACGGAAAAAACTAAATCACAAATTTGGCTCCTAATTATATTACAATTCCCAAAAACTACTGATCCCGTCATCAAATAGATTATCAATGTAAATTTGGATCGATTTGATTTTTCCTTCTCTTGGGTTGAGTCTCCTCGCCTCTTTCTCCTCTTGTACTTAATGATGTATTTTCATTCATCAGAGCACAGAGTTCCTAGAAAGTTTCAAATGGTTCCTGTCCGTCTCTCCCCCTTTCTTTAGATCCATTGCTTCCTGTCAGCAGTTTCAACCGTCATCATTCTCTAATCTTCAAACCCTGTGTCATGTTTCTAAAATATATTTGTACATTAAGTATTTGCTTATGCTGTTATTACTACATGAATGGGGCAGTTATTATCTTGCTCACTAGCTATTGATCTTCATCACCAAGGTGATCATTGATCATGCTGCTTTGCTTCAGTCTCTTGGACAAAGCGATGTTTCCTTCTATAATAATCAGACAAAAAACACTAAAGTTCAGCTAAATAAAGTGTTTGATTTGTTCTGATTCCTGCATAAAGTGGACCCAGAGCGACCAAAAGGAGAAGAAGACTCACTGTTTGCAGGTGCTAGAGACGTGGCTGGGCACCGTGTATTTACAGTCCATGATCATGGTGAGGGTCTCGCTGTCGTTGGCTTCCTGGAATGGCGGCTGGCCGCAGACCAACATGAACAGGATCACTCCGAGGCTCCAGATGTCTGGAAAAGGACACACTGAGACGGTCAGAGGGAAGCTTATCCCACTGTGGAACAAGCCCCATCCCTGAAGGTCTTTGCATCCCAGCAGGATTCAGAGCACCTGTGGGTCTGCTTCATCCTGTTAGACAGGTCCTTTTAAAGCAGCAGTGATCAGGCCTGCAGGGGTTAAAGCACAGTAACACAGAGGTCTACACTCATTCACTCCATCATTCAGCGGAGGCTAGCTGCTGCTACCTCAGGAGGACAGCAGAGCAGTCTGTTGGGCGGAGCCCCTGGGAGGAGGCAGGGAGAACGTCGGAAGGGCGGAAAGGCAGGGGAGGAAAACATTGGACTGAAGGGGCCCCTGGGAGCCCGGACCTCCATCCTACTGAGCCTCTCTGAAAGGAGCTGAAACAGGAAAGGAAGCCTGAGACTCCTGGATGAGGAGCAGAGGCCAGAGACTCCTGGATGAGGAGCAGAGGCCAGAGACTCCTGGATGAGGAGCAGAGGCCAGAGACTCCTGGATGAGGAGCAGAGGCCAGAGACTCCTGGATGAGGAGCAGAGGCCAGAGACTCCTGGATGAGGAGCAGAGGCCAGAGACTCCTGGATGAGGAGCAGAGGCCAGAGACTCCTGGATGAGGAGCAGAGGCCAGAGACTCCTGGATGAGGAGCAGAGGCCAGAGACTCCTGGATGAGGAGCAGAGGCCCGAGACTCCTGGATAAGGAGCAGAGGCCCGAGACTCCTGGATGAGGAGCAGAGGCCAGAGACTCCTGGATGAGGAGCAGAGGCCAGAGACTCCTGGATGAGGAGCAGAGGCCAGAGACTCCTGGATGAGGAGCAGAGGCCAGAGACTCCTGGATGAGGAGCAGAGGCCAGAGACTCCTGGATGAGGAGCAGAGGCCCGAGACTCCTGGATGAGGAGCAGAGGCCCGAGACTCCTGGATGAGGAGCAGAGGCCCGAGACTCCTGGATGAGGAGCAGAGGCCAGAGACTCCTGGATGAGGAGTGGGGGTGTAATGATGTTGTTGAAGCAGAAGCAGTTTTATTTGTTCAGTTTCAGAGGTGTTTAGTCTCTTTCCTTGCGGGTATTTCTGTGATTTACTGAGAGGAATGAACTGTTAGCTTCTAACAGACATGGGCAATGTGGAGTCAACAAGTCATCTCCATGTCATGTATTTGTTCTACCCAGCCACTGAAGCAGGTGAGTCCAATCTGCACAGGTTAATTCACGGTGAAGATTGGACTCACCTGGTTAATTGGCTGGGTAGATTAAATACATGACATGGAGATGACTTGTTGACTCCACATTGCCCATGTCTGGCTTCTAATGTGAATCACTGAGCTGCTCCATTTGTTCGCGAATGCTGATCAAACTAATAAACGACACGCAGGGTTGGAATTTTCTGCTTTTGAACGTCAGCTCGTCAGTCACTTCATCTGGTCTCTTCCTGATTGGCAGTGGTGTCCGAAGTTCACACATTTGCTACTTCAGTAGCAAATGTGTGAACTAGATACTGCAGTTTAAAAACACTCTGGAAAAAGTTGAAGGACCAACTTCACCTCTTTACTCAAGTAAAAAAAAAAAGTATGAAAAAGTATGTGCTCCAAAAACTACCTAACGTGTAAAAGTATAAAGTAACCTTTAAAAAACAGCCAGATGCCACTATATGAACTGAAAGCTCAATTTTTCGACAATTTCTAATAATTCTCTGAGATAGGGCCAAGGATGAGGGAGGTCTTGTTGGTCTCCGTCTCCCGATACGCTCTCGCCTGTGTCCGACCTTTCAGACATTTCAGCATCTTTTTCTGAATCCCACATTGTAGCATGGCATAGACAATTCACGTTAGCAGTTTGAAGAACACCTGCTTGCTTCTGATGATTTCCTTTAGCTAACCAATGAGTGTTTGCGTTCTATGAATCATCCAATCACACTAGTTTTCACTAGATGTGGGCGGAGCCAATGATCTGCATTGGATGGAGCACATGACGGGAAATAAATATGTAGAAACATTAAACCAATAGTAATTTTTGCTTTAAAAATGTAAGGAATAGAAAGTACAGATACTTAGAAGGCTTAGAAGACAGCATGGCCTATAAAGCTGTTCACCAACCGGTGTGATTAAGCCTTCACACTAGAATTCCCATACTGCACAAAAAGTCATTTGGCTGAAATTCAATGCAGCTTTAAGCGCCCGCGGATCAGGTCGCCGAGGTCTCCGCCTCTGGCTGCCGCCCAATCCTCTATGCACCGGTCCCTCATGGTTCCCCCTGCAGATACCCTACCAGGGGCATTTAGCCCCTGACAACATAGCCTCTGGGATCACCCAGGCACTGAAACCCCTTCACCACATTAAGGTGGCGGTTCAAGGAGGGGCGAAACAGCGAAAAGGCAAAGCTCTCAATTTACCGGTCGGTCTACGTTCCTACCCTCACCTATGGTCATGAAATTTGGATCATGACCGAAAGAACGAGATCCCGGATCCAAGCAGCTGAAATGAGCTTTCTCCGCAGGGTGGCTGGGCTCTCCCTTAAGAGATAGGGTGAGGAGCTCGGTCATTTGGGAGAGGCTCAGAGTAGAGCCGGTTCTCCTCCACATCGAGAGGAGTCAGTAGAGGTGGCTCGGACATCTTCTTCGGATGCCCCCCTCGGGAGGTGTTCCAGGCACATCCCACTGGGAGGAGGCCCAGGGGACGACCCAGGACATACTGGAGAGACTATGTCTCTCGGCTGGCCTGGGAGCGCCTAGGGCTTCCGCCAACGGAGCTGGAGGAGGTGTCAGCGGAGAGGGAAGTCTGGGAGTCTCTGCTTAGTCTGCTGCCCCCGCGACCCGGTTCAGGATAAAGCGGGAGACGACGAGTACGAGTCAATGCAGCTTATTTATATAACGCCAATTAAAGACTCATGTCGTCTCAAGTCAAATAGAAAATACTGAAAAGATCTGACATTATGATCTGGTTGAATTGTTTCTGCAGTTTTGTATCTAAAGAAAACCAGCTGATTGCATCGACTCATTGACTCTTCAGCATTCCCTCACACTAAGCATGCTTGTAGCGACAGTGGAGGAAAAACTCCCTTTGAACAGGAAGAAACCTCCAGCAGAACCAGGCTCAGTGTGAGCGGCCATCTGCTGAGGCCCACTGGGGTTCAAGGAGACAGAAGCAGACATAGAAAAAGAAGCATAGATACAAAAGGCAACTGTCAACCAGCTCCACAGGCGGCCCCGTCCAGGAAACACAGCCAGGCAGACGAGCTCCGAGCCAGCTCCCATGTCAGAGGATGAAGAGAGCACATCCAGTTAGTCACAGTCAGAGAAACAGGACTACACTGGAAAACAGGCCAAGCTCCAACATCTAGAAACAAAGGTGTTGATGGCAGCAGCACAGCTGATATTTCTCTCCAGTCACAGCAATTAGAACCAGGAGCAGCTGCTCATCCATAGGATCGTCTCCATATTGTTGAGCTCTGAAAGCTTCCCAGCAGCAGCAGCTCTGCTGGTCTCCATCAGTCTCCCAGTAGAAGCCACCAACAGGACAGACGGCACCACTGGTCCCACTGGGCATCTCCCCCCCACCTAAGCTCCTCCTCTAATGTTTCGGCTTAATGCAGAGAAAGCTCACAGCTACGAAGGACGAACCGCCTGCAGAGCAACATCACATCCTCCAGGGACGCCTGCGGTTCTAAGACGTAGAGCAACATCTTCTAGAGCACGTGTGTCAAACTCAAGGTCCGCGGGCCAGATGTGGCCCACCATGTCATTTTATGTTGCTTGCTAGATCTCCCACAGCCGTCATTTTGACGGTTCTGAGATTTTAAAGGGAAAGAACTATATTTAAAATTAAATGTATGTTGCTCATGTTAACTGACTTTTCCTGTTTCTTAGTTTTTTTAAATAAAATTAAAACGTAAAAAATAAATATGGCTAATTCTACCTCCATCCCCCACAACCATTTTCACGGCTCTATTAGTTGCATTGTAAATTCTTCCCGCAGTTGATTGACGTACGGTACTGTTGCCTAGCAACCAACATTCTGCCTAGAACTCTTTGGCTAATATGGAAAAAGTGGCGTTCAGAAGAAAGCTAACAGCGAAACAGGCTTTAGAAATGCTTCAACATATTGATGATAGCGATTCTGGCAGAGGGGGAGAGACCGATGAGGAGGACTGGGGCTCCAATTCTGACAGCGAGTCTGAGGATGATCACCTGACCCCGGGAAAACGCAGATCAGACAATAGTAAAACTTTGTTCAAGCACCGCCCACACCTCAGCCGGTCCACTCAGCGGCCCAGAGCCAGACCAGAGCCCGTAGTCTGCTAGAACCACAGAGGTCGGGCTGGACGTTTTGGACCAAACTAGGGCTGCAACTAACGGTTATTTTAAAAATCGATGAATCGGCCGATTATTTTTTTGATGAATCGGACAAAAAATATTTTTTATATTAACCTCTTTATTCCAAAATAAACATTTTAGACAGAACAAACAAGCACACAAGTACAGGTTGCTCATTAACTGTACTGGTGCAATATGAAAAATAAATGTTTGTGTTAAAACTACGCAAACTTACCTGAGAAATGTAGCTGTACATCCACCAAATATAGGCTACTTTGTTTCATAAAGCGCAAAAAAAGACATTTTTGTTTTTAAAGCCCCTAAGGGGTTCAAACAATAGGCCCCCCCATTTCAACAAATGAGTTTTTTTAGACTAGAAGAGTTCTGCCTTTTAAGACAGGAAAGTATAGCAGTTAAAGTTGCTACTTGAGAAAATACTGAACCATAGAGATAAAAATAGCCCTGTGATTCAAATTATAAATTGTATTTGGAATAAAAATGAGAGAACTAGGGGTGCTAAAAAACACATCCTCCAAAGACAGATATTTACATGGGAATGTGGCAGATAATTAATTGACATATTACTGATCTTGCTGGATTTTATTCTGCTTTACTTCCATAAATTGCAGGATCTTCTTTACTTTATCTTTGCCAGAAGATTTAAACTTTAAAAGCCTTGCCCTCATAATTT